TCAATTGAAAATAAGAGACTGCTGATGACTAAACAAAATGTTATACTATTACAGCAGGTGGCTGAGCATAAAAGCAAAGGTAACAGCTTCTGCACTCACCTAGTCGCTGGTAGCTGATTTAAATACTTAATGTTAAACGTATAAAAGAAAAAGGCTCTTTTCTTCCCCGACTTGTGCTAAATGGTTACAGGCATCACAGAGTGACCGTTCTGCCTCAGACGGTAATAAAATACTCATTGGCTTTTCCACCGCCGTAATTATATCGCTCAAACAATTGTCACCTTCCAGGAGCTGATGGTAATCACTGTTATTGCTCTGCTGTAATGACTGGCTGCAGAGCTGCTGCAGGTGAGCTTAGATCACGGCCTGCAGGCGCTAGCTATCACAAGGCTGAGTGTGTCATGGCTTTAACCAGGGCTGGCTCAGAGTGTTTGTCAGGTTAAAGCATTCGTGCTTACACCCAAAATTTAAAAGTTAGATGAGATTATAAGATGTCTTTGTTCAGTTATAGTATCAAAACAGCAATTTAAGTCTATAAAAATATAAAAGGAGGAAAATAAAAGTATTTCTAAATTTGAATCACAATAGGATTTTAAAAAAGATCCTCAAACTGTTGGATTCCTGCCTATTTGCAATCTTTTCTGTGCAACAGAACTCCAGATTATTTGTGGAAAATTCACCTATTGACAGATTTATTTTTTCATAGATTATATCTTAAATACCGGAAGATGATGCAGATTGAGTAGCAGAAATACCCAGATTCAATGCTGCTTTGGGCGCCATGTAATCACCCCCACGGTTGCTAAGCAACCAATTCAGAAGCGGAATTCGGTTTTTCTTTGGCACTAGTTGGCCAAGAGGTCTGCAGATTTTATAGTAAGTCAAATTTATTTGTAAGCACATTTCAGCAACAAGGGAGTTCAAAGTACAGTAACTAATTATGAAACCATCAGTAAACATTATCAAACAAATGTACATTAAATATATTGACCAATGTTCCACTTATTGTGAATCAAAGGCAGCTCTAAACATGTGGGTTTTTAGCCTTGATTTAAAGAGAGTCAGTGTTTTGGCAGTTTTGCAGTTTTCTGGAAGTTTGTTTCAGACTTGTGGTGCATAGAAACTAAATCCTGCTTCTCTATGTTTGGTTCTGATTTTGGGAATGCAGAGCGGACCAGAACCAGAAGATTTATCCGCTAACAGCAGTATTTTAAAGTTTAATCTTTGTGGAAGGACCTTAGAACTGGTGTTATGTGCTCCACCTAACTGGTGTTACTCTGGATCAGCTGCAGCTGTCTGATTGAATTTTTTACTACTATTTTTTAAGACACTGTTGCAGTAATGAAAGTGACTAAAGATAAACGCATGGATGAGTTCTCTAGATGTTGCTGTGACATTAGTCCTTTAATCCCAGAAACATTCTTCAGAGGATGAAAGGCTGACTTTGTGCTGAGACGCTTTCAGCAGCACATATCAATGCATATTGAGGTGCGTTTGCTTTTTCAACTAAGTACAGGCAGTTTTAAGTGTTTTTTTGGGGGGGGGGGGGGGGGGGCTTCAAGTCAGGGGTTTCAGCCATTAGCGGGCAGCTGTGGCCCCCGAATTACCGCTGATGCTGGGAATCCGCTGTATGCTCGAGGAGGGAGTAATTATCGCCACAAAGGATAGGTGAGACTAATTAAGTGAATGCGGAGGAGCTGAAGGGGAGCATGGGCTGAGTTACTGGGGGGAGAATGATTGGAAATGACTGAATATCAACAAAAGTTTAACACAGGCAGCTGGGAAAACTGTCATTCGACAGAGCACCAAAGAACCAACGAGTAAAGCTCAGAACAGTTCAAATACTAGAGAAGCACTGGGCTGGTAGTGAGAGAATACAAAATATAAAACTGAAAACCAAAGTGGATCACGCAAGTTTATTAAAGCTGCAGTATGCAACATGTATTATTATTTTTAAAAGTTTGTTTTACATATTTGTCAAAACTGTCACCATTCGTAATTGAAAACAACCAATCAGAGCCAGGAGGAGGGTCTTAGCGCTGTCAATCAATCTCATGTACTCTCTGCATGAGATTGCTGTTTTTCTGCTAATGACAGAAAAACAGCTTACCTTTTAGAGGAAAATCATATTTAGCTACGCTAACTAGCATGAGCAGAGGGTGATTGACAGCGCTAAGCCCCGCCTCCTGGCTGTGATTGGTTGTTTCTAGTTGGGAAAAGGCGAGAGAGCTTGATTTAAAAAAAAAAAAATAAATTCCTCACAGATTATTTGCTTAATACTATACTGTTACAACATAGGAACAGTTTTGACAAATGTGTAAAAAAAATGTTCATAAAAGTTACATATTCTAACTTTACAACACCATACACAGCTGACTCACATCCCAAGTGGGCGGTAGGGAAACAAACGCCCCTCTGTGAAACACATGACTGAAGAAATGCTTCGCTTTCCTCTGCATCGAATTCAAAATAAATGTAAACCACAGGAATGCTAAAGGGGGTGGGAGGATTTTCTAATTTTGTAAAACCATGACTTTAAAAACTGCGGTACACCTCTAAAGCAGGAAACAGCCCGGGTCTGTCAGAGTTGTGATAACAGAAGTGGTTTTATCTCCGCAGAGCCATGACTAACAGCTCTGAATATCACCTTTTCATATTTTCCGACTGACGTATCTCTGAAACATTGTCCAGATTGACGGTACGACGGCGGCGTTTTTCACTTCCACGAGTCGTATCAAGCGAGGGAAGCTCGCCTTTTAAGTCGGGATCAGAAGATGCGTGTGAGCGATAACACCTTATCGCTCCTGCTGGAGTTTATCTGCATCTTCCTCTTGTCCACGTCTTGGCAACGCTTCAAAGATGGTGTTCAGGCTTCGCTTTCAACTAGATACGAATGTGACTGAATTTTTATCTCTCCTTTGAGCCGGTCAGCACGGCTGATCTCCCTGTTTCGTTGAAGCCTCCTCTGTTTTCAGCGCCGTGCTTTAGCCGTTTGCCTAAGTCGGATCTTGAACCAAACTTTCAATTGACAATCCGTCAGACGGCGTCCACCGTACATCATGTTGCACATTAGTGAATTCTGCCCGCTGTTCTGTCAAACTTAATCTCTCTGCTTCACCAATCTGTCATCTGAGGTTGGTGAGGCTAATTCCTCACCTAATTAAGTTAATTTACATTTAAAGTCACGTTACACAGTTCGAGAGCTTAAGTAGTCCTCAATCTGCTGTTTGGTGTATTTTTATTATTAAATGTTCTATTAAATGTTGAATAACTGGAAATCATTTCATTTAGTTACATGAGTATGCTCATTCGATTTTAGCTCTACTTGTATGTTCAGGGTCGTCGATCTGAACCTTGGCTCCAGTCTTTGTCACAATCATGTTTCTCTTTAGGGAAGGTGTACTTATAATGATGCGCAGCAGCCGTTTTGCTCCATGTATTGCAGCGCTCTGTGTCTAGGCCAGGTTTATTCAATTACGTTTGGATTTTCTAACCCAGAAATGTCACTGCACCAGACAATGTCTGTACAAGATGAAAGGTGAGCTAAAGCTAAACTATGCCACCTTATCATCGGAAATTAAGTACAGCGGTTTTAAATTTGGATGTAATGTTAAAATAAATAACTACTTGTCACTCCAAGAAGTGAAACGCAAAGTTTTCATCGACCATTTTTACGTACGGATGTCGGTAAAGACATGTTGACATGAATCAAGCGAGCTTGTGTTTTATGGTGCGTCGTGTTTGTAGCCAGGAATTCCCAGTTAAGAAAATCAACCGGAACACAAGTCTGACTTCCTCCTGGGAAGTCGGACTACTACTGTCTACTTGCAAGGCCGACTTTCAATATGGCCGCTCCCTACATGAACAGAAACCTGTTTGTTTTAGAAGACACATTCATAAGAGTGCGTCTAAAGTTAATGTTACATAATGTAGCACCTTTCAACTCTAAACCAAACAAATTAAAAATGGCATTCGCTTATGGAAAGTAAAGCTTAAAACAACGTCCGTAAGAGGTACTGCGAACGTCGTCAACGGGCGCCGCCATGTTGAAATCCTAACTTTTCCGACAGCATTAACTGGAACGCTCTCAACTCGCTTGCGTTGGCAAACCCAGCTCCGAGTTCCGACTTTGTCACCAAGCGTTGCATTCATGATCCTTCCTATTGTAGGAATTTATATTTTTGTAGGAATTTCTGAAGGTTAGCAAAAAACAATTTATTTATTTATTTATTTATTTTTTTTTCTAGCAAATCTTTGGTCTGGGCCTCTTGGAAATGAGTTCAAGCTGCCATTTGAGGAGCTGAGGATTACGATACATTTTGGTATCATCAGTTCAAAGTGTCTTTTCCTGTCTGTTTGTTGTTTCCTCTGGCTTGTGGCAAACTTATAATGGGACTTGTAGCTCTCTTTAAACAACGGTTTTCTTCTTGCCACTCTTCTTCAAAGACGAGAGTTGAGTGTCTGGCTAATTTAGCTGTTTATCTGCAGCTCCTCCAGAGTTACCACCGCACCTGAACCTATGGTTTGAAACTCTCCTTAATTGATTTGTATATTTTGGTTGACCATTTCCTAGAGACTGTTTAGTTGTTCCATTAGTTGTTCATGAGATGTTCTAAGTTTCAGGACATTGTTTTCTAAATGAATCCTGCCTGTCTTAACAGATTTCTGATGCCAGCTGGATTTTATTATTATTTAGGGACATCAGAGTAAAAGGAGTTTGAAAAAAAAAATCTTAAAAACCTTGCATTATTTTGTTTTCACCTTACTGACTATGGCATTTGTGTCTTTTTTTTTTGTAAAATCACAAAATGAAAAGAAATTTGAGGCTTATATTTACTTTAAAAAGGTAATTTATTTTATCATTTTGCCTTCTGTAGGTAAAACCCTGAAGCTGAGGAAACATAAATTAATCAAGAAGCTGCCGCACTGTCAGTCGTACTGCAGTTCATCAGATGTACACAAAGTTTTCAGCGTCCTCACGCCTCACTTTCTCCCCTCAGACGGTCGTGTCCAAGTACGGGTCCCAGTTTCGTGGCAACTCCCAGCACGACGCCCTGGAATTCCTCCTGTGGCTGTTGGATCGCGTCCACGAAGACGTCATACTGGTGTCGCACAACAACAACAACAAGACCAAAACTCCTGAGAAGGTAAGACTCCAGCAGGAGCCTGCGGGGGCCACACAGTACCGGTAGCCATGGGAACCCGTCACGTTGGGGAAACACACATGTAATTAAGCTTTCATGCCTTAGAAAACCATTAAAATAATTAGGAACATTGAGGAAAACTAATGACTGATTGTTCATGAGATTTTGTTTCATTACATAATAGATGACAAACTCTGGTTTGTTCCAGACGTTGCATCAATCAGCCTTGTGGGAGAGTCGGTTCATGTTTACAAAGGGAAAGTCTTCAAAGACTTCGTTGCTTTTAGCGTTCAGTGAATGTTTTTGAAGGTGAATTAAAATATTCCCTCATCTTTAACCTTCTATACAGCGATACGCATTAAACTGGTTCACATTCTGTCACGTTACAGCTGGATACGCACCGATCCATTATCAATATCTGTATCGGTCCTGATATTGAAAAGAAATTCTAGATCAGGTATTGGTGACTGTGCCTGAGCCAGAAGAGCATGTCTATTCAATCTAGTTCTATGCTTTGTTCTCATCATTCTTCATGATTTATTTTACATCATAATCAGAATTCTTGATTTCACTTTGTGAATCATTTGAAAGAAAGTTTGTTGCACTTTATTTTTACATGTTTGACTAAGAGAGTCAGCCTATTGTTTTTTGTCAGTTTNAAAAAAAAAAAAAAAACAGTTCCCCATTATTTTTGGGTTGGTTTAATCAAATACAATGTTTTCCTCATCATCATATGCCTTGGTGATATTTGTGAACTTTTTAGACTGAGTGAGTCACAATGGCAGCAAAACAGCTGCAGGGCAAAAAACGCTCAAGGAAACCTGAGCTACACAAACGAAAATGTTTTTGTGCACGCTCTCTCTCTCTCAGCAATAAAATGAAACTACAAACAGGTGCAACTCATGACGCGTCAACGTTCATCATAAATTTATTTCACGATTAGTCTGTACTTGCCTACATGCCGGGTCAGGAAGCAGATGGGGGTTATTCCTAAAATATGCTTCCTCCTTCAACGCTTCCAATGGTCATGTGCGTGCAGGAGGAAAACGGGTCGGAAAAATAACTCCAGCTTACAGAGACGTCATGCACTCTTCCTGACCCCTCTATCCTGTCACTATAAAGGAGTATTGTCTCGGCCGCTTTGTCCTGAAGGCTCGGCTAAATAGGTTACCTCTGAGCACAATGAGAACAGGAGGATCCAAATGAACGCTCATTGTGATGACAGTTCCTGGATTACTGCGGGTCAGAGAGGCAATACTTCTTGATTACCATTTTTTTTTTTTTTTTTAAAAAGCGGCTTATCGGGTTTCCACAACTGAGCGGAAAACATATTGGTACTAGAGAAACAACAGCTCATCATAACAATCACTCTGGATTTCACTAAATTGTTATGTTGGTCTGTTGTTTTTTTACAAGATTCCTGTCATGTTTTACTTCCAGGTCAATTTGCCCCTTTTCTTAATCCACAACCAAGCAAGTCTGTCGCTTATTAATGTAATTTAATTGTATATTATTTTCTAAAAAGTTAATTATTCCTGGTGTTTGTTTTTTTGTTCATCAACTTTGGATATTTAAAATGTCTTCCAGTTCCAGTGTTAAATATTCATAAGAGTTTAAAGTTTATTGAGCTTTATGATGATGTGTTTTTGCATTATTTTGCCATTGTCATTCTATTACTTGGAAAAAGGTCTCAAAACAACATTATTATAATTTATCGCAATAACTTCAGGGGCAATTCATCGTTCAGCAAAATGCGTTATTGTGACAGGCCTATTGACGCCTGTTCAGGGTGGCTGATGATGAGTGTGATGTTTTACTGTCAATTTTTTTATATTTTCTGCTACTTGTCAAAGTTGGGAACACATTTCATGAACTGTGTTAATGTTTGCCAGTAGGTCAAGAAGTATTAGTGGATTTCTTTTAAGAGATTTACTAAGAAATCATCTTTTCGTTTACCAAAGTCAAAAGTTTCACATGGAAGTAGCTACTCTAATAAGATTTAAAAGTTAGCTTTCTCGGTTTTACAGGTGCAAGACGGTTGTTAAAAGGAAACCATTTTCTACAGAGGCGTGCTACAAGAGAAGATCACAGCTGGTAACAGGAAGCTAGAGTATGACAGTAAATTTACTCCATTTTATCTTTTTGAAGGCATTATGAAATGTTAGGCTTTTCAAAATCTCACGGTTAAGACAAGGATTGCTAACTACAGTGGGTACAGATGGAGATCCCCAGCCAGCATGCCTAGGTGGGCCCCATGTGGGAACAAGGAGGGCAGACTATATGGGTCCCATATGGGTTTGTCCTAGCACCCATGTGGGCTGTGGCCCTACATGGGCAAACCCATGTGGGGCCATCGTGGAACCCGCGGACAAACCCATATGGGACCCATATAGTCTGCCCTCCTTGTCCCCACATGGGGCCCACCTAGGCATGCTGGCTGGGATCGATGTTAGTAATGCTAGCTACAATCATGATAATCGATGACTAAATGACTATTTTCCAAACAAGTATAAAGCTGAACGAAGGTCGGACTTATTTCAAATCACAAAAATGTTATTCTCTTGTCTCTACAAGACCGAAAGGAGTATGTTCACAGACAGATATATTCATGCTTATGAACATTTAATAAAAAACGCAAACTGTCAGAAGTGGAAATAAACTGTTATGTACTGCATTTTAACATGTAGCCGCCATGTTGGATTTTGTGTTCAGGGCTGCAGAGGAACATCTGGGAATATACGTTTCTGTTGAACATTCAGATTTGAGTCACTCCTTTAAAATGGTTTTAATGTATATTAATACCAATTAGCTTACCGAAAAATATTAGATTTCAAAGATGCTGTTAGCTTATCAAATATATGCTCTTGATTTGACCTACAAGTCTGTTGAGAATCTTACTGACATATCTAGCATAAACGATCAGCGGCAGACGGCTTCATTTCGTACACAAAAATGTTGGGTTCGTAACGCTCAAAGCTACAAAGGTACGAAACGGAGAAGGGGCGAAGTCCCCACCACCCACTCCTAAAGGCCAGAGGAAAACACGGAGCATGTGTCACAGCTGGTCGTGAATGCTGTCAGACTGTACGTGCTGACGGCTAATAAACGTCCCGCTACTGTAAACAAATGGAGGGTAAATAAAGGAAAGAGAAACAAAAGTATTTTGCCCCCGCCACTCAAACTGAGCCGTAAGAAAATAAAAACCCACTTCGATAAACTTTGAACACACCCCTCTACGTTAATCCAATGATTACCAGAAAAAGCAGCTAGCTACAAGAAGCTAAAAGAGCACCAACGTTTTATAAAAGTTAGCTAAACACGGCTAACTGCACAGCAAACGTTTGTTTCATTTATATTAATTCAGGAAGGAAAGATAGACAGGAAAACACAAACTACTTTAAACATAGACTTGTTTTAGGAGGGTACAACTTACCGTCATGATAGCAGGATCCAGAAAGTTAAAAAAATAAAAAATAAAGACGGAAATGTGTTTAATCCTCACGAGAAAAACTTTCTCGTCTCAGCTAAGCCTCTCGTGCAGAAAGCACCTTACTGTCTCACGCACGTTACGCAAATTCAGATAAAACCCCGCCATTCATCCACATTTTTTACTCCAGCCAAAGTGCCGTAATCTTCCCACGACGATACTGGCCGCGGTCTGAGAGAAAGGGGCGAATTTGTCCCGCTAAATGTGGATTAAATGCTCCAATTCAGAAGGAACCATGTCTAAAGTTTCTGATACGCGGGGTAGAGATCCTGCCTTCAGCTCAATGCGTCGTTACTCGCTGCTCTCTGTCTCTGCCCTGTCTGCCACTTCCTGGGCGGATCCGCAATGCTCGTTTAAGAAAACACGCAGACCTCAGTGTTGTATCTGTGAGAAATGGATTAGAGGGACCCTCATGTGGGGGGGAGGAGAATTTGAGAGGGCACCAAGTCTTATAATGTTTTAATCCAGATGAAGTCTACTAATAAAAACCCTTATCACTGCAAGAAAATATGTTCAACTAGCAGTCTTCACAACAGCAATACATCTTCCTGACAAGGACAATCAGTAATCATCTCTTTTCACACGCACATAACAGACCAAGCCACAGTTTCCTGATAGCCTAAGCTTGGAATTGAAGTAGCACTCCCCCCCTCCAAAATCCACCCTCTGTAGCTACTGGTTTCATTTCAGGAATTTCAACACATGCCCCAGCAGACCACAACTGACAAAACTCAGTCTTATGAAATGACTGTAGGGTGTAGGTAAGGCCTATAGACGCACAACAAACAGCTGCTAAACAGGAGCATAACATGAACGTATATACGAATTAAAGTAGCAAGTAAATCTAAAAATAAATACAGATATGCAAGACCATGAGTGAATATTGCAGAAAGATGTGTACTTAAACAAGCCAGAAGGCAAAATAATGTCCTAGATTATTTCATGCATAACAACAATTAGTGACAAAGAAAAAAAAATACTTAACTGTTTGTATGCTTCAACAGAGGTGACACAGACATTAACTTTCAACATACGGGCCGTAGCACCTACCTGCATTTCTTCCGATCTGTGATTACTTTTCCACGAACAGCCCTCATCTGCCGTGGGACTGCCTGATCTCTGGATAAGAGCGGCTTGTAGTTACAAAAATAATCAATGTCTGACCAAACAAACACAGAAAGTCATCACACAGCTCTACGTTCTCAGGCATATGGGATTAAGCATTAACACACTTTGGGGGGTGTGAGTGGGGGGGTGGGGGTGGAAATAACAATGCTCAAGTTCAGTTGCACTGCTGTGGATTATGTTGAGCAAAAGGGAGGACGCATTACACCGTGGGGTTCAAAACCTTATTCCAAAACCAGTGGCATCCACTTTTCTCCTGCTGGACTGAGGCTCACTAAAGTATTCATACATCCTATTACAGATTGGACATGTTGTGCTATGAATTCCTCCAGTGACCAGCCACAGACACTGGCTACAGCATATATTTTTTTAAAGCAACTTACTGTGACAT